ACAACAACAATAATTCTTTTTTCTTCCTAGCCTGTTAATTTGTGTTCACTGATCACGGGAAAAATAATAAAAAAATCATAAGTGGCATATATTGCCTGCTATAGGGCAGGGAATTTTGACAAAAAACAGGCGCTGACTCAGCGTGCGTCCCAGGCGGTCTGTTGCTTGCGAGCTGTCAGGCCAGAGTTGCCACAAAGAGATAATTACCTAATTATTTCAATGTCTCTGATTGATTTGTCGTAGTTTTTTTTTGCTGTAATATTATTCAATAGTGTGTAGTGTGATGTATTTATATAATAAAATGAATCATCGCTGTACTCAAAAATATGGTGTGCATATTGTTGATTCAATTATGTTCATCAAACAGTGAATAAATACTTTGTTGGTTATTACACTATATACACAGGTTATATATAAGTATCTGCATGTTTTGTTCACCATAATGAACCACTAAGTTGCTATTATGAGTCAAAAAGTAACGAGGAGTGACCGCCGTGTACCAGCCAAAAACTCACTCCCTCCCTCAAGTCACCTGACTCGCCCACATTCTCCTCCCACAACATTTTTTTGCTTTCATTCACTATATACAGACACTATATAAAAGTATCTACATTCGTGTTCACCATAACAAACCACTAAGTTGGCATGCTGAGTGGCAGTGGCAGTGGCAGCCTGGCCCCCCTCACTGGCTGCCACTCCCTCCCTCCCTCAATCGCCTGACTTGCCACCATTCTCCACCCACCATACCACAACTAACCACTAAGTTTTTGCTTTTATATACAGACGTTATATATAAGTATTTAAGTATTTACATGTTTTGTTCACCATAACTGTACATCTAAGCTTGTATGGCGAGTAAAGGCACAAAGACGTAGGACCTCACACAGTCAGCTGGCTGCCGCCCTCAAGGCCAGATGCACTAATATTTCTCCTCCAACAATACTGTTTGTGGTGTTATTACGCTATATACACACATTATATATAAATATCTACCTGTTTTATTCACCATACTTGTATAAGTAAACTGGTATGGTGCCCAAAGACCATCGTGGTAACCAGTAAACAACATGATAACAACGGTGGCGTCGTCGAGCAGACGACGCCACCGCCCTCACCAAAATGGCGGCTTCCAACCTACTCCTCTTGCTGTTTATACCCTCTATACACACGTTATATGTAAGTATCTACATTTGTGTTCACCATAGCGAACCACTAAGCTGGTATGGTGAGTGCAGTCAATAAAAGATGGCCACACACAGTCAGAAGACATCGCCACCATCCTCCCTCCCACAGCATTACTCCTCCCTTCATGGCGCACAGCACTAAATATTACCACAATCCTGCTATTATCAGAACCCTGGTCAGTTTTATCACAGTCAGGGTCTTCTGTAATATCAAAGCTACATAATAGCATGAACAAGTATATTATGGCATTTTTAGGCGATGCTGTGGTCACAAGCTGAACAGCAGTGCTGTGAGCTCATGCTGTGTGCATCAGGCTTGGTAGCTCACTCAATACTGAGGCCCCTAACACCCGGGAATTTGGCCCACGATTTTTTTTTAAATGGCGTCTGTTTACAAGATCCCTGATGAAGGTGTGGTGAACCCCATGTATCCGCGGGCCGTTTAAATCTTGCGTAGTACTCCAAAGCATCACATGATGCGATGCGCAATTTACTGCAAGTCGGTCAAAGCATCATATGATGTGATGCGCAATTTAAAGGTTAAATATGCAAAAACTAGAAGATTGAAGAAAATAGAAGCGATATGATCACTACGTTCAAAATAGTAACAGGAATCGATAAAATTGATAGGGAAGAATTCCTGAGACCTGGAACTTCAAGAACAAGAGGTCATAGATTTAAACTAATGAAACAAAGTTGCCGGAGAAATGTACGAAAATTCACTTTTGTAAATAGTGGTAGACGGTTGGAACAAGTTAAGTGAGAAGGTGGTGGAGGCCAAAACCGTCAGTAATATCAAAGCATTATATGACAGAGTGCTGGAGAGACAGGACACCACGAGCATAGCTCTGATCCTGTAACTACACTTAGGTAATTACGTAATTACACATGCACACACATAAGTGTACACATGTACTCGTATATATGTGTACACACACACACACATACACATGAAAAGAAAAGAAAATTAAATAAAGAAAAGAAAAGTACAAGCAGCCGACTAGTGGGCAGAGAGCACCAGGCCGGCCAGGCGAAGAAGGCACCAAGAAAGCACAAAACTGCATCAAAAGGCCCACCTCGATAACAAAACCCAAGGGCCCCGGCATGACCACAACACGTGCCAAGACCCAAAAAGATCAGCCTGCAAGCCAGGAAGACCACTGAACCCCAGAAGGCAGAACCGGGTCACACACTTGAAAACAAAGCCCCCAGAACCCACAAAAGGGGCCTAAGAGGAAGAAACCTCCAGAACGAAACCAAAGAACCCAAAGGAACCCGGAATCGAACCCGGGGGAGCCCAAACCACCACATTTGCCGGTGGAAATACACCACAGAAAGGCAAAGCACAGCCCCCAGACAGAACCCCCAGGGAAATGGCCAAAACAGACCGAAAGCCAAGGGACAAGGTGTCGGAGCAAGCGTAAACAGACCGGGACACTGAGCCCAAATCCTAGTGCCCAGACACAAAACAGACAGAAAACGGAAAAACCGGTGTAAAAACCAATACCCAAGCATTCCTAGAGGAACAGAAGATGGGCAGAAAACATCAGAAAAGCAAAGAAACCCCTGAAAGAGGTGAAAAACTCACCCAAGATGGTAGCTTGCACACCCAGGCGCATGTAAACAAACCGCAATGCCGCACGGATGGCTATGCAGGGAAACTGGCAGAAGAAAATGGCCAAGAGAAACAGGGGGTCGTGACCAACGCAATGGATACAAAAACACACCAGCAAAAGTGGGAAGCAAGCAGACTAGATGGTCAAAAAAACTCCGCCCAGAAGCAAAAAATCCAGGCAGGGGCAAACAACCCCAGAACTGCTAGCAGGCATCCCCCACAGCCCCGGGAACCCGCAACAGAGGCCCTGGGGCAGAGCCGTCCTCCACGCCCTCTGCTCTTAAAGAAAAGGAAGAGTCCAGGGGACAGGCAGCAAGAAAGGGCCACTGGTAAGACCCAGAAGCCTTGGCAGGAGGAACAGGCTCAAAAACCTCCGTCCCCAACCCGAACGAGGGCAGCCCCCGAAACCGCCTGAGTCTTGGCCCCAAGTAAACCCGGTCCCAACCCTGAAACCCGCAGACGGTCAGGAGCCGGGAACAAGGAGGGAAAAGGGCGAATAGCACCTAACCAAAACAGGGCGGCCCTGGGGCATCCGAGTAGGAAACCAACCTAGCGCGTTACAGCAACCTAAACCAAGCTTGCAACGCGGATGCCGCCTGTACTCTGAACAGTAATAACATCAGGAGAGTACTGGAAAACAAGCAGAGAACACAACTCGCAAGACTCCAGGTCAAGGTGTCAGTGACCCAACAGGCAACATGACGGAGGTAAAAGTGGCGACTGTCACACAGATGCAAGGGCACAGCAACCAACAAACCCGCACAAGACGGGTTAGAACCCGGAAGACACATGTAGTGGTCCACCGAGCCCCGACAAGGTTTTCCAGGGCCCGTAGGGTAACAACTATGGGAAGCCCGGGCAAATTGTTGCTAACCGGTTAAACACCCAAAACTAACAAAGGGTAGAGGACAACACTGAAAACTCCTACGATGTGTACAATCACAGGGGCCTAGCAGATGGCCTCCAAACACTACCAGTGGAACTATAGCCACACTAGGTAGACCCCCACCAGGCAAATGAAAATAAAAAAAAAGAAACCCCCACGAAAGTTCACCGTTCCCAGAGGCAACAGAAACCGGTCGCCGCTTAGGGGGCAGGTCGCGCAACACCTTGACGCCCTAACCAGCACAATACCAGTCCCTGCCCAGGGCCAAACAAGGGCCCCAAGCCCCAGCTGCCCCAAGAGCGAGGCAAATGCCGAGCAGCAAGAACCTCTACGGGAATGGTTCCCGAACACCCCAGGGAAGATAACCCTGTCACGCAGGGGCAGTACTCACAGGGCACTTAGGGAAGGAAGCCCCTAAGTGCATGCAGCCCTGGTACTGATGAGGAACACCTGGCCACCACTCAACACAACACACGGCAGTGAACGCCACGAAAGGCAAACACTGCCTAGGAAACTGATGCCAGAGAAGCATCTGTCCCGGTTGACATTAGCTTACGAATTGATGCTAGGCAGCCGGCGGGTGTGGTCCTGGGGCTGGGGATGGGAGGGCTGCGCGGACGATTGGCGCAGCAGTAAAGTGTGATGTTTTCTTGTTTCCTAGGGATTGTAGGGAATTTCTACCTCTCTGTTCGGTTTTGTGTTTTAGTTTTTTACCATGTGGATTTTTTTTTGTTATGCCTACCTTTCTGGGTGCCTAACCCCGGTCGATGGCAGATAAGGAAAACCCCAACCACAAGGGGGTTTTCCAGGGCCATTGCTCCCTGAAACCTCTCTGAAGGGGCCAGGTTCTGGCACTGGTCCCTGGTAGGTCTGAACTCCTTAGCTAATGTCCCGGTCTAATATAACATACATTAGCCCGATAAGATCCAAGGAGCCGTAGGGGCTCCCCACAGAAACAGCATTGAATTTTTTGTGCATCAGAAAACTTTTTATAAACTACTTTTCTATTATAAAAAACAAATAAGCTTCAGGGAGTCTCTGGGGCTCGCCCTGGAAATGGCGTTTCATTACATTCAGCGCTGTTTTTTTACAGGCCCCATTAATTGCAGAAACTCTTCACCCACTCACTTGAAAATTCCATTAACCATTTTTATGTTTTAAACTAAAAAAAAAAATTGTCTGCCTAAGTTAATGAATATACTGTAATTGCATGTTGTCAAGTACAAAATTTAAATTATATGTTTTGTATATACAAAATAAAAATTTAGACTATGTGAGTCATATTTGTTACTTGTGTACTGTATATCTATTTCAGGAATTGAAAGATCAAAGTCTAGAAGGCTGGTTTAACTTGGTGAAGAGCAGGGAAGATGAGATTAATCAAGTATCTACCAAAGAAAGTCTTAAGCCAAATAAGAAACGAGGAAGCATACGCATAAGCCTTAAAGTATCTACTGTAGCTGAGGTAAAATTTATTTCATTTAATGTAATAATTATATCTCTGCATATTAGCAATTTTCATTGATCAGTCCAAGTTTAAGCCACAGAACATGAAATATCAAATGATAAACCTGAATAGTACACAGGCCTCACTTTATCATTTGATATTTCATGTTCTGTGGCTTAAACCTGGACTAAATGAAATAGTTCACCACATAACTCGAGTGCACTCGGGTATGGGGGTTGATTGAGTTCATAAAGACACTCTCATGCTGTTGTAGGCTGGTGGTACAGTGTTACAGCACTCAGTGGGGCATCATGTGGGTGGAGATTCTAGTGCTCAGCAAGGGCATTTGGAACTTTCAAGTAAATATATATATATATATATATATATATATATGTCGTACCTAGTAGCCAGAATGCACTTCTTTGCCTACTATGCAAGGCCCAATTTGCCTAATAAGCCAAGTTTTCCTGAATTAATATATTTTCTCTAATTTTTTTCTTATGAAATGATAAAGCTACCCATTTCATTATGTATGAGGTCAATTTTTTTTTATTGGAGTTAAAATTAACATAGATATATGACCGAACCTAACCAACCCTACCTAACCTAACCTAAAATATCTTCATAGGTTAGGTTAGGTTAGGTAGCCGAAAATGTTAGGTTAGGTTAGGTTAGGTAGGTTATGTAGTCGAAAAAGCATTAGTTCATGAAAACTTGGCTTATTAGGCAAATCGGGCCTTGCATAGTAGGCTGAGAAGTGCGTTCTGGCTACTAGGTACGACATATATATATATATATATATATATATATATATATATATATGTCGTACCTAGTAGCCAGAACTCACTTTTTGGCCTACTATTCAAGGCCCGATTTGCCTAATAAGCCAAGTTTTCATGAATTAATTGTTTTTCGACTACCTAACCTACCTAACCTAACCTAACCTAACTTTTTCGGCTACCTAATCAAACCTAACCTATAAAGATAGGTTAGGTTAGGTTAGGTAGGGTTGGTTAGGTTCGGTCATATATCTACGTTAATTTTAACTCCAATAAAAAAAAATTGACCTCATACATAATGAAATGGGTAGCTTTATCATTTCATAAGAAAAAAATTAGAAAAAATATATTAATTCAGGAAAACTTGGCTTATTAGGCAAATCGGGCCTTGAATAATAGGCCAAAAAGTGAGTTCTGGCTACTAGGTACGACATATATATATATATATATATATATATATATATATATATATATATATATGTCGTACCTAGTAGCCAGAATGCACTTCTCGGCCTACTATGCAAGGCCCGATTTGCCTAGTAAGCCAAGTTTTCCTGAATTAATATATTTTCTCTAATTTTTTTCTTGTGAAATGATAAAGCTACCCATTTCAGTATGTATGAGGTCAAATTTTATTTATTGGAGTTAAAATTAACGTAGATATATGACCGAACCTAACCAACCCTACCTAACCTAACCTAACCTATCTCTATAGGTTAGGTTTGGTTAGGAAGCCGAAAAAGTTAGGTTAGGTTAGGTTAGGTAGGTTAGGCAGTCGAAAACAATTAATTCATGAAAACTTGGCTTATTAGGCAAATTGGGCCTTGCATAGTAGGCTGAGAAGTGCGTTCTGGCTACTAGGTACGACATATATATATATATATATATATATATATATATATATATATATATAAATATATATTAATTATATAATAATATATTTGCATGCTGTCAGATAGAATGGCAGGCAAGCTGGAAGGTAGGATGACAGATTAGCAGCAGGCTGGCAGGCATGCTGACAGAGATTTGTTGGTGCTCACAGGTACCAGGTCAGTTAGGCAGGCAGGCAGTAAGGTAGTTTGGCTGGAAAGCAGGAAGGCAAGCTGTCAGGAAAGGATGTAGGCAGAAAGGCAGGCAAGCAGGAAGGTAGGTGGAAAACCTGCAGGCAGGCAGGAAGGTGGTGAGGGAGAAATGCAGACAGGCTGTCAAGTAGATTGGCAGCAAGAAAGGTAGGAAGGCATTCAGGACTATAGGCAAGCGGGAAGCCTATATTCAGGCTTACAGGATTGTGTGGAAGCAAAAAGCCAAGAAGATAGGCCAGGACAGCCAGGCAGGCAGACAAAGAGGCAAGCAGGCAAGACAGCAAGCAGAATGGCAGGCAGGCTGGTATACTTGCAGGATTGCAGGCATGCTGGAAGACAGGATGATTGGCGAGTCAGATGACAGACAGGATAACAGGAAGGTAGCCAGGCTGGCTAAATTGCAGGATGGAAGGCAGGCTGGCTAAATTGCAGGATGGCAGGCAGGCTGGCTAAATTGCAGGATGGCAGGCAGGCTGGCTAAATTGCAGGATGGCAGGCAGGCTGGCTAAATTACAGGATGGCAGGCAGGCTGGCTAAATTGCAGGATGGCAGGCAGCCTGGATGGTTGCAGGATGGCAGACAGGATAACAGGAAAGCAGGCAGGCTGATTGATTGGCAGAATGGCAGGCATGCTGGTAGGCTGTATGCTTGCAGGATGGCAGACAGGCTGACAGGATGGCAGACAAGCTAGCAAGACAGCTGATTAGCAGGATGGCAGGCAGGATTGGAGGAAGGCTGCGAAGTAGGATAGCTGGACGGAAGACAGATGAGCAGATAGGATGGCAAGCAGGATTGCAAACAATCAGGATTGCAGGCAGGCTGGCAGGATGATAGGCAGGAAGGCAGGCAGAATGGCAGGTAGACCAGCAGGATGGCAGGCAGGCCAGCAAGATGGAAGGCAGGCAGACAGGAAAGCGAGCTGGCTGGCAGAATGGTAGATAGGATGGCAGGCAAGCTGGCATCACGGCAAGCAGGATGACACAATGACAGGCAGAATGGCAGGCAGGAGGGCAGACAGGCTGGTTGAATGGCTGGCTGGCTGGCAGAATGGCAGGCTGGCTGGCAGAATGGCAGACAGGATGGCAGGCTGCCAGGATAGCAGGCAGGCTGGCTAGCAGGATGGCAGGCAGGCCAACAGGATGGTGGGCAGGCAGGCTGATAGGATGGCAGGTAGGCTGACAGAATGGCATGCAGGCTGACAGAATGGCAGGCAGACCAGCTTAACCACTGCACTGCGCAACGCGCCTTGAGACTCTCGATGGGTGGTGGGCAATGCACCTCAGAGCTCTCATAGTTATAATGTACGATTCGAAAGTGGCGCGCGGTGATGTGGGTACAAAAAGGATGCCCGAGGCCTCCAGTGATCATCCGCCATTTTGAAAAACAATCCCAGCATACCCCAGGGGTCAGGTGACCCTTAGTTTCAAGGAAGCAACCATGTCTGATGCATCGTCTACGAGCTCCCGGTCCACGGTCAGCCGCAGTCCAGCAAAACGACTCTCAGAGGACGAAATACAGGACATATTGTATGATGATGGAACGATGCATGATGATTTAGACTACAGTCCTGAAAAAGACCTAACACAGGGGTCGAACTTGTGCGATATGGACACGGAGGTGGACGATGTCGCGAGTGTGTACCGTACACGTGCCACGCCCGGCCTGCCTCACCGCCCTGAGTCAACACCGCTAGTCACCATCACCATGTGTGTGTATCCCCTGATGTGAGTTTATTTAGTGATACTACATGTGATGAATCATTCTCGGGCTTCAGTGACATAGGCTCTGATACAACCAGTGCTGACGAACCGACTACAAGCAGCGATGGTGTTACTAGGCGGGGTTTTGCTGCCTAAGCAACACACCGAGGCAAGCGGCAACAAGTCACACAGTCTGAGGACAAAGAAGACAGTGTTCCCTCGACATCAGGTGTTCATAGTAGGCCTACACTACGCAGAACACTCATCTCCTGGCATACCCATATGCAGCTCTAGCACAAACCGACAGAGCCGTGCTTTTGGTGCTCGTGCTGGTGGTGGCGGTGGTGTTGGCGCCAAAACCACTGGTGCACTTGTGTGGGAGGATTGTGAGACTTTTGTCCCACAAATTCCAACATTTGATAATACCGATGTTGGTGTGACACCCATATTCCACTATACTGGTGATGATATGGCTGAAATTGACTATTTTATGGCATATTTTGATCAGGAATTCATGGACCATCTTATTGCAGAGATGAACAGATACAGTATGCTCACAGCCTCATTGACTCTGGCATTTTACCTGCCTCTCGCATGACAAGTTGGAAAGCCACGACAAATGAGGAAATGTATGTTTTTAGCATTGTGCATGATGATGCATTCAGAAAAACACATGATCCAGGATTATTGGAGCAAAGACAGCCTTGTTCCATTCCCCGTGTTCAACAGGTACATGTCACGTGATAGGTTCCTGTTGCTTCTCAGGTGCCTGCACATTGAGAACAATGATAATGAAGACAGACAGGACAGACTGTGAGGAAGATATTTAGACATATGAGAGGAAAGTTCCATGACTATTTTGTACCATGACAGAATGTTGTGATTGATGACTTGCTAGTCCTCTTCAAGGGACGACTGGCGCTCAAACAGTACATTCCATCATCAAAACACTCATGGAACTGTTGTTGGACAAGGGGCATATCCTGTTCACGTACAACTACTATACCAGCCCCTTGCTGACCAGATTCTTCCTTGACCACAACACTGGCATATGTGGCACTGTCAAGGCCCACAGGAGGAAGAAATGCCAGTGTTTAGCATTGGTATTGCAGTGGGTGATTGCCAGCTGCGAAAGTGTGACAAAATCTTATCAGTGGGCTGTAGGGAGAGACGCGAGGTGAAAATGTTGACAACTATACACACCGGTGCCATGTTGAACAGTGGCAAAGTGCGCTTTGCAACACTGTTCCCAATATATAAACCTGATTGTGTCCTTGACTACAACGTAAACATGCGACTACTTGATATATATATATATATATATATATATATATATATATATATATATATATATATATATATATATATATATATATATATATATATATGTCGTACCTAGTAGCCAGAACGCACTTCTCAGCCTACTATGCAAGGCCCGATTTGCCTAATAAGCCAAG